CCCAAGCTTAAAATATCAGAACCAAATTTTTATCTAGCTTTAAGGTATAATTTCATAAACTCAAAAATAACACAGTAAATATGAAGAACACAAGGAAAATAAACAAAACCTACCACACTGAAAATAAACAGAAAACCAGGGTGAGTCCAGAAGGGGCTGCCAAGAGACTGCTACAATAATGGACCGAGGAAGCGGCAAAAGTGTGAAGCAGAAATCTTGGCAGCAAGCAACAAGTCAGAGACATTCTAGATATATCCTCCCTGAATGATGTCCAAGGTCAAAATCAGCCAAATGGTACAGTGTTGATTGTGACAGTTTCTTAAAAGCACTGGCTTGTCCCCAAGCAACTAAATCTACTATGTTTTCCACAACTTGCGAAATCTGCACATGTAATTGCAGATGAAGAATTATTCAAACCACTGTGTGCAGGCTACTGGAAATCTTGTATCTACTAAAATCCAGAGTGCTTCACAATTTGTTTTGCTGACACCCTTAAATTTTTCAAGAAGGTCACCTATGCATTCACTCTACAAAGAATTCTAGAACTAAGGACCAGTAACACAATAATCCATAGCTACAAAACAAACAATTTTCACATGACTTCAGTTTAATAAATCAACACTTTACCAAATACGAGGTAAAGGGCTAACTGTCAAAACAGTGTAGACAAACTTAATGAGATATGATTGGTGTCCTCCATATATTCAAAGTCCAGTCTAGTGGAAGACACACAAGTGAACACATGTTTATACAAAGTGTTTGTGGGAACAGCTGAAGGTCTCAGCCGTGGCCAAAGCAACAGGAAAGACGTTTGTATGCAGCCTCACCTGGTCATTTGAGGCCTGGGACGGGAGGGAAGAGTGCAGCGCAGGGACAGAAAGGTGGGGGTGACTATGTGACAGCCGAGGCAATCCAAGCCTGGTAACACGTGTGGAGGGAGAAACGGTGAAAACATGAAGCAGATGTCATGGATGGTCAAAGAGATGCTGGGAACAGAGCTTTTGCGCGAATCGATTGAAAGACAGGAGGCTAGTGGGTGCGCCGCGGGGTGTCTAAGACTGTAAAGGCCAACCCTGGGGTCTGCTCCTGGGAGGGAGGATGCACCCATCCTTCCCTGCATTAGTCTGATTCAGAGACTGGATCTTACTTCCTTGGTACTGCCGGGTCTAAGGACACCTGCCACACAGTAGGCACTTGGTCAGTGCGTCTGGTTAACGAAAGGCGCTCAACGCTAAGGACAGTACAAAATGCACTTGGTCTGACAATAGATATTTAATGAAGATGTTAATTTAGTCCATAGAAACCCTTTAGAAAATGGAGACAGGTCCAGAAGATCAACCTCAAACCTAAAGGATAAATTACATTCACCAGTATTTGCCTACAACAAACACACACACTAAGTTAAGCCGCTAGGTACATTTTTTTTTAATGCTATCAGCGCAAAACAAGATTAAAAGCTGGCGCCGCTACTTAGATGTTCTCCAGAATGCTGTACCATATTATACACAGGTGTTTAAGAACACTCATATTCTGTGGTACTTAATCAGCTGTACATCACATCAACCAATTAACCTGTCGTGTCCTGGACAAAAGAAGAAACACAGAAGTTCATACAACAAGGTCTCTGTCCTTAAGGGAAATGCAGGGTTTACGAGAAGGTAAGGAAGAAATATACAGAAAGTTATGTAACAACAACAAAAAAGGCAACAACAAAGGAGTATGGCAAATTGCTGCCCCCTCCCCAAAAAAGACGAGAGGAAAACAAAGGTGAGTGGGATCTCCAAGCACTAAGCAGGTCTAGGCTAAAGGAAAGACTCACAAAAAAAGGCCCAGGTAAGAAACGTACAGGCATTTCAAAACCAACCTGGAGGAGGGGGCCCCAGCCTTGGGGACACAAAGAACAGAGGACACAGTCTCCTTTTACTAAAAGGCCACAGCGCTCTTCTGCGTAACTCTCACCACCTCGGTCACACCCTACGTCTTCTGTTTGTGAACTGGCAGCAGAGATGTCGTTACTTTTCTTTAACTATTACCATTTGCATTTATCAGCTTCAACTTTATTCCATGTGGGTCATAACTTCCTACGTTATTCTCCTCCAGACAAACCAAAGTCGTTATATTACCACTTTCTGTTCCGAAAGTTTTGATTTAGCAAGACACGAGCGCCTACCCTTGCAACTGCCGAGAGAGGCTAAAACTGGCCTCAATTTCGTGACGTAACTTTCTACGGGTTTTGCCAATCTATACTATTGGATTGTATGCATTATTCATGCACATTTTGACCAAAATAGCATTAAGAGGAAAACCTAGCAAGAAAGCCTTTCGTGAACAATTGATTTCAAAATGTTTCTAAAAAGGAAAATGAACAGACAGTAAGGAAAACAAGACATTGTGAAGATTTAAAATTCAAAAGGCAGGAGGAATTTTCATGAAACTGCTCTCTCAGACCAATAGTGAAGAATAACAGCCATGAAGTTATTTAACTGGTAACGTTTCAAAAACCATGTTTTAGGAAATTACTAGAGATTCATAAAGTCAAGCACCTTTAATTTTCTCCCCCTTAGCCACTTTTTCATTTCCCTTCTCTCTGAGCAAGTCTCATAGCTCCAACTTGACTGTAAATGTCTCGAGAACAAATTTTTTAATAACATCTCATCCCAGCTCACTCCTGTCACCCAGCCCTCCCTCTCACATAGCATCCAGAGTGGTGTGTGCAGACTGTATGAAATTACCGAGCGTTACTGATTCTTTTGTGTTCTCTATTGAATATCAATATATTTCTAGGGAGGACAGAAGTATCAATGACATTTGTTCAACAACCTTCATTCCACAAACACTGAGAGAGCAACTCTGATTCTGTGCTAAGTACCTCAAGGATATAAACTGACACGGTCTCTACCATCACCAAGAGACAAGCACAATGCAACAGAAGGGCTATGAAAGAGGTGTAAATGGAAGCAACACAGACGAAATGATTCATTCTGCCCAGGGGAGTCAGGAAATGCTACCCAGGAGAGGAGACAGTTTAGAGATGTTTGAGAACTTTGGTAGGAGAGGGTAGCATCAAGGGAAGTTGAAATGGAAAGGGCAGAAAGCTGGTAGGAACACATAGAAAGAATTGCTGAATTCCTCCCTAAAGGGGCGCCTTCAACATATTTCTGTATTTATTTGCTGGAAGAATGGAATTTTTCCACAGAACTAGCCTCCAGTTTCTCATTAAATCTTTTGCTTTGACACGCACAAACATTTAGCCCTTTCCCCAGGAAATGCTCACTTACAGGCAGTAATACCAGAAATTTCACTACACAGACATTTCATTCCTTAAATATACATGTAATGAAGACAAAATGTGATGCTTTATTAGATTTAGCTCCTTTTAATCATGTAACACAATGGAATTCAACCACACTGCGAGAAAGAAATTTATGTGCTTTATGGAATTTTATGAAATCTTAAGTCTTTGAGCATACTGGGAAAAGTTTAAATAATCAAGAGATCCCATGGGGCTGGAAAAAATACACTACACTGTAGGCTAGTAACAAGGTTCATCTCACCCACTGTATCAGATTTTTATTGATCCTGATTATTTGAAGAAATTTAAAGGGAAAACAGGAAGTCACACAGACTTAATTTTAAAGCAAGTAACCCAAGTTGTAACCAACTATCAAAAGGCAGATAAAGCATTTAGTAAAAATAATTCAGATATATCTTAAGAGAAATATCTTAAAACGATCTTTTTTTCATATCTTTTAAGTATCAGAACAGGCCTGATTTAATCTATTGGCCTGACTCA